CTTGTCTCAGGAGAGCCAAATGCACCGATACCTGCACAGGTTTTGTGTGTCTCCTTTTCTGGTCTTGAAACAGGTTATGCTGCACTTTCCTGATGCTGTCCGCGAAGGCTGTTTGTACATGCTTGCATAGCAAAGAAATATTTCTGCTACTTGTCTCATATTTTGCATCTTTTTGCCATCCTTCTCTTCATACATTTGAATGCAGCCTGTGGAGAACAGCAATATTAGGAAGCTAGCGTTAAATCACTGCCAAATAAAATGTCAACAGAAGGCATATGCATCACTTACGTCCAATCGTACGCTGCCTGCTCAGCATCCGGCTGGCATTATTTGGGATGCTGCCACAGAGAGCAATGGGAGCTCAGGCTGCTTCTTGGTTTGCCTTCCTTCTTAGTCACTGGGTTGACTGCTGTTCCCAAGTCCCTGGGTGTCCCACGTTCTCTGAAGAAGGGAGTCTGCCATTAGAGACTCGGTATGACCATTTTCCCAAACAGGGACGGATGCTGGGAAGGTAAATAAAACTCCCAAACGATACAAGTGAAGGAGAGTTCATCCGAGTTAACCACAAACAATGAGGTGGTTTTACCATCTCTATTATAATCCTATCAGTCAACAAACCTATGCCATCTGAATATGCTGCATCATTTGGATTTCCACTCCAGCTATTTTCTTCAGCTATTTTCTTTTCTCTGTTAAATCTTCACGATTTCGCCCCAAGCACAAACAGCAAGTGGAGAGGGAGAAAAGGAGGATAAATTGGAAAAGCACAGCGAGAGGCCAGGGGCTAGGGGACTGTCACTCGGAAAGCATGTTCTTTCCATCCAACTGACACATTATAGGCACGGATCCCACATTCAACGGTGCAAGTGAAACCATCTGTGCCACAGATCTGGTCCGGTGCTTGGCCAGGGGGCCCTGACTGGCTGTCCACAGCGATGCCCCTGGGACATTTGCTACAGCTAAGCCTTGAAGGGAACAGAGAAAAAAGTTTAAAGCAAGAAATTTCCAACCATTCCTCATTCTTCAGGGGGCTTGAATGAAATTCAGGTTTTGCTTCTACAAATGAAAAATAGGCAGGAAGCAATGCACTATGTGAAAGCTCTTTTTTTGCACATTCACGGTATGTTTAAATTTATGGGGCTGCACCTCAGCTGGTGAAAATCTGGAAAACCCTCCTCGGCTGAGTGGAGATCTGCCAGCTGGAGATGGGCTCCCTTCCACTGCTGCTTTCTGCTTTTTTCATATCTGCTCATTGATCAGCAGAGCACACGACCGAAGCCCAGAGCATGGCAAAGTATCAAATAAAATTGTATCAAACATTAAATTACAACAAGGGAATGAACATTTCTGAGTGTGAACATACTGACGGATGAAATGGGTGGATACCAGAATTATATTCCTTCAAATATAGAGGTCTGAGGAAATTTTTTCAGTTCCCAAACTATTTCTTTTGGTAACAGCCAGTTAAATAGACCTATGCGACTGATGCAATGAGTTTGTACAATTATTTCTGGATATCTTCTTTTTTGAGGAACACATAGTTATAAAGTGGTTAAAAAAATCATTTAAATATTCTTCTGAAAAGAGAACAGTTTTAAAAAAATCAGTGGGATGAGCCTTGTCGTTCTCAAACACCCGTCAAAGGAGTGACAGTATCTCGGCCCATCCACATGCCTCTCTAGCAATTGAAGCATATGAAAAAAAGCTAAACCAAGACAAATTATCAGCAGACATCATTTTGAAAGGTATAGATTTTTTGGTAAAGTGTTTGAATGAAGTTTAGGTACAGATACTGTCAAGGAAAAGCTGGGGGGGGGGGGGGTTTGAGTCACAGATGGGTAAGTGCTGATATATACCATGCTGATAAATGGGGGGTGAAAAAAAAATCTTTTGGCTCAATATAAAAAGACTAAGTATTGTTTTCTAAATCCCACTTATCAATCAAGAACTAAACGATTCACTTCATTCTTCCTCCTCTTTGTGTTGTAAGAAAAATGACTGTAGACTCAGAAAACATTGATAAGGTTATAAAGATAAGTTAGACAAACAAGGAAGGAGAGAGGACATTTATATTTTTAAAATATTGCCTCTGCGATATGTACCAGTGCACTTACAAGTCACGAATCCTGAGGCTGGACCGTCATCGGTGTGAAACACGTAGAAGTTCATCAGCCCTTGGCGCTGCTCAGGAGCTGGGTCCCCGCTCTCCAGAGCCGGAGGGCTGCAGAAGGGGCTGCAAGGCAGCGTGCGGAGCCGGATCAGCTGCATTTCAGCATGATGTTGCAGTCATAGCAGGCACTGGAAAGTCATTTTTTTTCTTCGCTGCATCCTTGACTGAGGGTAGAAGGCTGCACCTACAACTGTTTCTGTTCATGGCAAGAGTGCAAATATGACAGTCCACTGAAGCAGGACTAAACCCAGGCTTGCATCTGATCCTTTTAGTGCCTGTTTCCAAGTTAAAAAACAGGCTTTTGTAGCATGACAGTTGAATGGTCTTTGAGAGTGACCTGACCACTTTGAAGCTGCTCGGGCTTTGCCCAAGATGAGTGACAAAGTCAGCCTTGGGGCCCTGCAGCATCATGCACCCGAGAAGCGACAGAGCAGTAGACTGAGCAGCACCAAAGCGTCCGTCACCCTCACGCTGGAGACAGTTACTGGGTATATTCAGTCTAGTAAGCACTGAGCTCATGAGGGGATCTCTTGGTGCTCCCCAGCACAGGAATCTCTATCTATCTATCCAGCTATTCTTCTATCTATGGCCAAGCAGGCATCCAGCTCAGTCCACTATACCTTAAAACCACGTTTCAGGTCTCTTCGTCATACTTTAAACTTGGTATTGTTCTGCCTCTCTCCTAAGCCACAAAAATTCAATGCTTCCTCTTGAACGTACTCGTCTTTGCCTGACCATTGCTTCCTCATCAAGAAGAAGCAGAACGAAATCGTCTAATTAACACATGCTCAGTAAGTAACCCTGGAACAGCTGAAAAACAGCTCCGAGACACAGAAAACAGCTCTGTCCCCAAGAAGGCGGCTGCCCTACTTTTATAGGGTTATATTGCTTCATAAAACACCCCCTGAGCCTGGGGGATATTTAAACTCCAACGTCAAGCTTTTCCCATTTTCTGGCCCGGTTTTAGTGTTTTATTCCATCATGTACTTTTACACGAAACCTACTGGTGAATACCGCATGGAAACCTGTGTCTAAGGACCACTTTGGCTTCTTCCCTGGATTGCTCTGACTTAATCTCAACTTTGTGCCTCCTTGAGTTCGTGTTTGCCTTTGGTGTCATCAGACAATGATGGCAGGGCTGTGCCCAGCTAATGCCATTCAGTTGGATCTTGACAGCTTTACTACAAAGGCTTGCAAAAGCCAGCAGCCAGAGCTAAGGCCAAGGGAAAGTCTCCCAAAGCCCACAAAAAAAATATTCAGGTCTTATCCTTGAGGATAACCCAGTAACATTTAAACTAGAGCAGCATGTTCTACAAAAACACCGTAACAGTAAATGGCAAAAAGGTTATATAAACCAAAGGAATGTTTACATTAGGACACAGACCCAAGAGAAGTACAATAAGCCATTGTTAGTCACAAATCGTCTTAAAAAGTACATGCCAGCCACGGACTCTAATAGCACGGAGGTATAACGGCCTCATTCCCTGGTACAATACCCACAGTATCTCCAAGTCAGGAACATTTGCCTTCAGCCTATTCATCTAGCCCGACAATTCAAAGAGTGACTTTCCAAACCAATCCAAATAATTGTGTTATTTTCTGGTAAACTACAATGGGACATTGAATAAGGAAGGTGCTAGCGGTAGTCCAGAGGAAATCATTTAACCCTGAAATATTGGACTTGCAATAGCTTTGGTGACCTGGTGTGGAGCTGGTGGTAGCGGCTGTACCTATGTTGCCAACAGACGAAGGGCAGCCCCCAGGCCCCCCTGCCTCCCTGCCATCCATACGGACAACCAAAGCGACAGCAATCGTATCACCAGGTCCTGAGCTCTTTGGTCTCAAAAAAGTAGGCAAACATGACTATCAGGCAGAACCACTTTCCTGTGACTTGCTATATATTTGGTTAAAACTGGGCACAAGTGAACCTCTGCATCCTTTTCCTTCCCAAATGGCTTTAGAAGGCAGGCAGCTGCAGTGATGGCTGCACTGGGGCTGTTGCCCACCCCAGGGGTGATTTCTGCTCACCAGGCCCCAGAGATATTCTGTTACATTAATAAATCAAGATATTTCATGAGTGGACACTTCTGCTGTCTGTGACCCTGAAGGGAGCTCAGCATTCCCCCTCCTGTAGATTATATCCTATAACAGCACACAGCACTGAGGTCAATTCAATGGAGACAGGCCGGGATCACCTTTCCTGACAGCAGCTGCTGCCTCTTCCATGGGACAGGGTGCACAGGCAGTGGGAACCAGGACAGGGGCACCTCTCAGCCAGGCAGCAAGTTTCCCTTTCTAGCCCACAGCAAGAATGTGCTCTTCTTGAGAGCAAGCCACCACCCACATCCTAGACATTGCCCTGTGGAGGAGGTGGACCATGCCCTTGAGGTGAATGTCTCCTTACGCTGACTATGGAGTCTGTGATCAGGTCATACAGAGATATTAATGGCTAGATGAGACTAATACTGGCAAGAAGACTCTGAGGAGCAAGTAAGTGCCTGGGAGCTCCAAGGGGAGACCAGGACCTCAGCAGAGCAGGGATGGCACTGACACATGGCAGGAAAAGATCTACCCACATTGTTTGGTAGAAGACAACATCGATAGAAAAATACATATGCACCACTAGAAGTACCGTGTCAGGGAGGAGAAGGGGCAAAAGGGATGAGACGTGGCATTAAGACAGAGAAACGTTGCCAAGTGAGTTTATTGAACAAGTGTTTCAGGAGCTAAGGAAACAAGACAAACTGAAGGAAAGTTGCTGGAGAAGATCAGCCCGTGGGAAGTCACGTGCAAGGGAGCTCGTCTTCCTGCACTGGGCTCCAGCACAGGCTTAACATTCAGTCAGACTCACGAGGCTGAGAGTCCTATTGCTATTCCTGGTGAGAAAAGGAGAGAGAAGGATTAGACACAAAGCATATTCAGTGCCGAAGCCTCATTCCTCACTTCACGGCCCAAGCGTTGGCTTAGGGTTGACCGGAGACAAAGAACAGTCTCAAAAGCCCAAATACTCCCTTTCATTGTTATCATTAAAGATAAAAGGTTTCACACATTTGATACCATCCATTTGGTTTGGTGAACTACTTTTTCACACATCCTGATTAGCTTGTGGGACAGATTATGTGCTGGTGAAAATGAGTAAAGTATCTTTGAAGTTAACAAACAGGGGGCCACGTACAGATTACAGAAATGGGCCCTTCGCATTTTCCCTTAAAATGCAAAAACCCCACTTCCTTGCACAAGTCATGGTGCACCAGAAGTGTCCAGCATATGCGCCCATAAGCAGTTAGTCAAAAACACATTACAAAAACAGCCCTGCATTCGTAGTAGGTACAGGAATTGATCATGAAAGGAAGGGTTTTGCTCTTGTACGTACAGGTAGGCATTGCAGAAAAGACATCTGTTGCCATATGTTTTGTCATCAGAGCCGCAGTGGGGCAGATATTCCATGGTGCAGATAGGAGAGATTTCTTGGAAGTCCTTGCAATGCTCCTGCACACAGAAGATAGACATGAGTCTCTGCCTGAGAGCCAGCTGTGGTCCCCCCAGCATAAGGAATGACACCCCACTGAGAAATGAAACTGTCTGTACCATCATAAGAACCAACTCAAAGTTTCCTCCTGGTGGCAGATGTGATCCCATACTATTTCTGCTCACTGCCACATCTTTTCCTGCACAGTTACAGAGCAATGGGACGAATGTTGACTGTTTTATGACCAGCATGAAATTCCCAAGGGATCTCCTCAGGTCTGCACACCACCACTCCCCCAGTTTGTAACCCACAGCAGAGGACGGTGCCCCTTGAGTGTAACAGACACTGGACCTCGCTCTTTGTTCCCATCCTTTCCCACTCACTTTTGTATTATCCTCTTCACAGGGTCCGTTCTTGCTTTTGCCAACATTGGACCGATGCTCCCTGGAGGAAGACAAGCGCCGTTAGCTGCAACCTTCCCCATTACAATTGCAGTGCAAGAACATAATCTCACTCCCACATAGTCCACAGGAGATTTTCAGATGAATTAGCTTAGCATTGCCTGCATAGCACTAGCAAGACCATGCCCTTATGGACCAGGCACGTGTCTTTTGGAATAACGCTCTCCCCAATTGACGCATCCCCCTTTGCGGGGCTCTGGGGTCAAACACCCATGTCAAACACCAACCAGGAAAACAGGACCAGACAAACAGGACCCATCCAGCACAGGGTTTCAGAGAGCGCCCAGGCACATTACGTGGCACTCAAAGATGGATCCAACCACCACCACCGAGAATCCCCCAGAGGGAGAAGGACGAGTACTTACAGATTGTGGGCACACAGTGCACACTCGCTGGCATAAGTGACACCATCAGTACCGCAGACGGGATCGTAGATCATCGTGCAGGCCATCAGGTTTCTGCCGTCCTTCAGCGTGGAAGTTGGGTACTCGCTGCAGTTGAGCTGGGGAACAAAGACAGCAAAAGCTCCGGCACAGGCTCTGCTCTGCGCAAGGGCACCCAGACACAACCCCCCCTCCTTATTCCTCTGCTTTTTAGGATCTGCCATAGGACAAATTACGGTTATATATTAACTCATTCTTCATGGAAAACTAGCAATTTCCTTTCATAGCCTAATGCTGGAGAAGACTGAATCAAGGCTTGAAGGTAGACATCACTCATTCAGCTTTGTATTTATCATGATGCCTCTATACCTTGCTGAACCTACCAGGATATTACAAAATGCAGCTCAAAAATAATCTGCAAATCAAAACGGCATGATTTATGCACTTCCTGCAAGAGAGCTGACTGTGACCAAGGAGTTTTTCACAGCCCACAAGAATGGAGGGGAGATGTGCTGAAAGGCCTTTTGTTGCAACAGGACGGCTCCCAGTGTTGAAATCTGCCAGCAGGACTGACAGCAGTTGAAGCTGATTTACACCGGTTGAAGAACTGGTCTTGCGTTTTAGCAGTCCCAGTTTCTCCAGCGCGAGCTCTTCCTCTCTGATTTATGTATCTCACCCGGTCTGAGCACAGAGCGTACCCGGGAAACAACGGAATGACATTTCATAGTTTGTTTGTACAGAAATGAAATATCTGACTCGGGATGTTGACTCTAACACATGCTAATGAGATGGCTTTGTTCTTCTATTCCCCAGTGAGTATAAATGGTTTAGAGCTAGCCAAATATAGTTAATCTAGTATTTTTACAACATTCATTGTCGGTATACATTAGATTACATTGCATTTACAAAAAAAACAGAGGAGTTTGAATCCCCTGGTACATCAGGTATCAGCATTCAAAACACAGGCAATGTTCTAATCTTTGCAGAACATACTTTTGTAAAATGCAAGCATCCAGAAGGCACCGGATACCCTGGGTCCTCTGCATCCCCTTCCCATACTGCCAAAGCAGACTGCTAAGCTCCTGCGGCAGCTATAATAGACTGCTGTGGGAAAGGAATTTCTTCTTGTAAAGCCTTAAATCATTTACGCTACCTGTCTCATAACTCATTCCTCACCTGTCCTCTTCCTTTTTCTGACTGCGTGCAGGAAGCGCACAATGTTCCTGCTGCTGGGAGAGGGTGATATTCACCCGCCAAAGGAAGGACAGCACAAGCTGTGATCCCTGCTGGAGGCTACGCCACCAAAACCAACCAGCATTTTTTCAAGTTATGCAATCAGCTCCAGCTCTGGTTTTTTTTTTTTTTTTTTTTTAGGTTTCACTTACTTCGGGAACTTCCTCTCTGCACCTTCCATCATGCTTCTTGGCAACACTGGTTCCAAATTCACTGGAAGAGAAAGCAGAGTTAAAAATGCTCAACAAGTAGCTCTGCTGAGCTCGCAGGGGGTGACCTCCAGGGCTTACATGTTATGGGCACACAGGGCACAGTCATTGCTGTAGGTGGCACCGTCTGTCCCACAGATCTCGTGCAGGATGAAGGGGCAGGCTGCGATGGCTTCGCCGGCTTTGGTATTGCTCAAGTATCTGGTGCAGTCAACCTGAGGAGATAAAATAACAATGCTGGGTCAGCTGCTGGGCGATGGAAGAGCACCCCATCTGCAGTCTGTCCACTCTGACTCTCCAGATTTTAAAGGCTTCTGCCAGAGGAAAAACAAGAGGTTTTTTAAGTTTAGTCTTCCATTAGAAATGAATTAAGTAATTGTAGTTGGGTTTGGTATTGTCTGCTAACAGAGGGAAGAAAGGAACAGCTGGCCAAAAAGATTATTTTCCTAGAGTCATACATATGCAAGGTTTAAAACAAGCATTTAACCCAAGGAATCTGATTTAAAGTGTTTGACATTAAGTCCAGTTTGACATAGTTAACTAAATCCAAGATTCTGTTTCAGCTTTTTCAAAACAGCAGCAAGAGCTGTTTCACCAGCTCCAGTTGGAAAAATACTTACTATATATAAAATCTAACAGCTAAAATATTTGAGGATAAATAGACAAACATCTATTGGAAGTCAGTCTACACTAGCTAAGCATCACTGATGCTTCACTGTCATTTTGCATAGTTTCCCCAATGCAGTGTCTCTTATTACCCATATTTCCCACATGGTCCAAGAGCAGATTAAAGCAAAGACAGCATTTCAACAATGTATCTTCACTATAGAAAATATAGTGCGGTCCCTCAGGATGCATGAAATTATTTTTGGTGCTTCAGAGCTGCTCTGCATAAGCAGAATAAATGTGTTGAGATATTATCAGCACATATTGTTACTGTGCAGGATAATAAAGCTATTTCTGGATGCATACATGAGAGCAGATTTTTCCTGGCTGACCAGAGCACAAGGATTTTTTTAACCTGCCTGTCTAGTGCAATGGAAATCCTAGCACTGAATGAATACACGGACATCTAGCACAGCCTTCTGACTTCCTCTCTTACTATGCTAAAATGGGCTGCACCGTTCTCGGGCTGCCTCTGATGATTTCTGTTCGGAGATCTGCAGTACTGGGACATTTTGTTTCTCAAGTCCCGGCCTGCTCCCATTCTCTCTTGCCCTCACGTACGGCACATTGGTGGCAGCCACTGTGAGCAGCTAAGGAGAACTGCAGCACCAGCACGAGCCCTGTGCATCACCCCTCCATGCATCTGGCGGCACGGCAGGTGCACTGGGTCTTCCCAGTGCCAGGGTTTTCCTGGAGACTGGAGAGAGAGAGAGAGAGAGAGAAGATGCCACTTATTTTGTAGCTAGTTCCACTTACAGGAGTGCTTTCCTCCTTGCATCTTCCATCATGGCTTTTCTTAACGTGAGTCCCATGTTCTCTGAAAAGGAGAGGCTGGCATCAGCATGCTCACAGGCTAAGCCCTATGACACCCAGGTGCCACAGAAGGCAAACCAAACTCATAGTCAACATATATATGATAAAGGAGGCATCTGATTGCCTAATGAACTGGCTTCTCCCAGTCATTAGCAAGCGTAATCCTAAGCGGTAACAGACCTATCAGGCCTCCTCACTGTGTGCTACGCAGCAGCCCCATCCACTCTTTCTTCTGCCCAAATACCACAGCCCTCAGTGTGCTCACATTGAGAGATGGGTCACCCACAGCTCCCCCGAGGAGCACAAACAGAGCATCAGGAAACAAAATCAAGGTGACAGGGGCTTCAGGAGGTTGAAAGAGAAACAGAAAGAGACATATAGATATGTTGGTATCAAAACAAAAGCCATCTAGAGCACTAACCATGACTAGTCACTCCAAAAGAGAGTCCTATATACAGTACTTACAGGTTGTAGGCACAGATGCCACATGGGTTGTCATAAGTATATCCGTTTGTGCCGCAGACTGGGAGCAGGATCCTTGGACAGGCTATCCTGGCCTTACCGTCCCTAACAATTCTTGATGGGTATTGATTGCAATCGATCTACAAAAAGCAGGAGTGTCAAACCTTGGGAAGTCCTTGTTCTCCGAGAAAAACCCCAACGTAACCTCCCACCCTGTCTCTTATGCTGGGATGCTGAGACAACACTAGTGCTATGCCTCAGTTCTCTCAAAACCAGGCTGAGTCAGTGCTGCATGAATCCTCTCATGCACAGAGGGAACTGCACAGCACCGCATGGTTTGTGAGATGCCAAATCACTAGGGTCAGTAGTTCGGTCAATCCCAAATGCAAGATATGCCAGAAAAGAGAAAATAGTCCCCTTTTCATCTGCAGTATAAATATAAACAAAACACCGAAATAGTGAAGGAAGTTGGACTTTGCTGACAACGCATTTGAAGAGCATCCTCAAAGGAACATCTAAGCCCAAACTGACCGACTTCCACATTTATGTGTTGCCATGTCCTAGACACCAGCTCTGGGACTTCTCAGCTGATACACTCGGATCAAAACTTCAGGTGTGCTCCATATACCAGAATATATCCCCACCCCAAAGTTTGGTGTAGGTATGAATTCATAATGAAAACCCTGTGTCTAGCTCCCATGCAGCCCATCTGCCAGGGCTGTGCGGGCAAGGAGGGCCCAGAGGACACCTGCCTCAGGACAGATAGGATTCGTAGGCATCCTCAACACAAGGGGCTGACAAGACTTAATAGACATGTGGAGAAAGCCAGGCTTCAGGCCAGCTCACTTTCAGAGTAGATGTAGCCTCAGGGAACCTTTCAGTTGATACAGCTAAGAGGAGAAATATACTTTATATTGAATACTGACCTCGGAAACCTCCTGTCTGCATCTTCCATTATGCTTTTTGCCAACATGGGTCCTGTGCTCTCTGGAAGAGGGAAACAACAAAGTTGAGGAATTAAATGCTTAACATCTTGGTCACAAACATGTGCAAAATGAAGCAAAACATGGCTTCAGACTCTATAAGAGTGTCTCAGAATAGCTACATTACTTTACTCATCCACAAGCTCATCACATCTTCTCGTAACATGCAAGTTAAAGCAATATTCTGAATTATTCCCTCCTCTGCTCAGTCACTGCCCAGCCCACAGACTAATCCAAGGAGCTGTCATCTGACTCTTCAAGGTTTTCCCTCATAGGCACAAAGAAGGTATCAGAAGGAAACTCAAGATAAATCCAAAACCAATCCAGTTCCTAAGAGACTTGAAGAAATAGGCATCAGCAGAAATGCAGAAGGATGATTCTCAGGACTGCAAAGCATTGCTGGCTACTTAGAAGGAGAGCTCTACGTATGGCACTTACCCATTGTGGGCACAGATTTCACATTCGTTGTCATATGTAACGCCATCTGTGCCGCAAACTGGATTCAGGATCCTTGGACATGACACTAATACTTTGCTGTCCTTAGTGGCTGTTGTTGGGTACTTACTGCAGTCAATCTGTCAAAATAAGGAGAATAGCCCTTGCTATGTGAGAAAAGTAGATGCAAAACCTTTTCATTCTGTATCCCAGCCTCCACTCTTTCTGCAGCAGGACAAAGCCCTGATACACCGAAGCTAAATCTTCAATCAGAAATGAGCTTTCTGAATATTATCCTAGTTCTCCAGGAGTCAAGAAAAAGGACTATCTTGGAGAAGAGATCCTTCAGGCAGAAGAACATGTACAAAATTCTGGGCTCATCCTCATCTAAAAAAAAACAGTCTTGAATTTAGTGGGAAACATTTTTCACCAGCTGGAAATCTGACTAATACTGTTTTGGTTTGTATTGGTTGTCTCCCCACTTCTCCAGCTCTGTGATTACTTATTACTTCAGATTCCCTGTAGTTAAGCATGAGGTTTGAAAGGCTAGAGAAAAAATGGTTATCTATCAGTTGGAGAACGGGCTTTCTACATCCCAGAATTTTGGTGCTGAAGCTTCTCTTCCCGAGGCACCAGACTGTTGGCCTCAAACAAACATACAGTAAATGATACTCTATAAATATGTATGCTTAGTGCTCTTGTGAGTCTCACTATGTCTGTGAAAGCAACCAGCATGGGAGTTTTGAACCCCTGTTGCAAAGGGTGGAAAAGCTTGCGATCTCCAGAGAGAAAACTGCCAACCTGCACAGCACGTTGGCAAGCGAAACCTTGGGCGTCCCCTTCCCCTGGGCACAAAAGCCAGCTTAGTACGGAGGGAAATGAGTTCTGCAGCACCGATTCACTGCAGCTTCTCATCTCATATCCATCTCCGTTCTCCCTCCTGGTGTGGCACGCATGGGGTGACCCGCTCTTTGGAGCGGGCAGGATGCAAAATCCACCCTCACTGTGCAGAAAAGCAAATAATGGATTGGGATCCTCGTAAGCCCTGTCATATGGTCCTCTTGCAGTTTCCTAGGGAAATCTGTGGGGATCTCAGGATTCTACTCGCAGCCCTAAGAGACGGATTTTTTACTTCTATTGCACTTACAGTGACAATCTTGTTCTTGCATTCTCCATCATACATTTTGCTAATATTGGTGTGATGTTCTCTGAAAGAAAGAAATGCTTTGGTTAGGAAGCCTTGAAAATAAACTTTTCCCATTACACCCTAGGTACTGGGACAAGAAAGCAAAGTCCCACCCGCCTTGTGGGACACCAACCGCTTGACTACTCTGAATGCACCCCGCAGACGGTAGCGGCAAATGCACGGTATTTCCATATCACATGGTAATGAAGTGTTAGGAGTAATTAGATGTTAACAAGTAACGCTTTGATCTGTTCGTGGCTCTGCTCTGGGTTGTCCTCTGGTTCTTTTGTGATTCCTCTCACGAGCACAGAGAGAAAATGGGGAAGAAAACTCAGGCTGGCTGAAGAATTACAAGCAGCCAGCTCTAAAGAGCCCGCCAGAGACACCTGCCTTAAGACAGACTAGTGTTTTACAGACGTGCTTCTGAGAGCCTTAACTGTCACTAATTACCCAGAAGGATGTTCTATACGCAAAACTTACGCATTATAGGCACAGATCCCACATTCGTTGTCATAAGTGAAGCTATCTGAGCCACAGACTGGTTTCAGTATCCTTGGGCATGCTACCAGGACGTGATCACCTATTACAGTTCTTCGGTACCTACTGCAATCGATCTGCAAAAATAGCGGGAATAGAGAAAAAAAAAACCACATTTTTTTATATAAAGATACAACACTCCTACATAGTCTGCTTACTCTCCCTCAGCCTTTGGCGACAAATCCAGCATCAAACTAATTCCACCATCAAAAGTGGAAGCCAGAGTCAGTTCTGCAGGAATTCTCTCCTGCTGAAAAAAAATGGCATAGCAAGGAGGACTGCGATTTGGATTTTGCGCGGTCCTTCATAAGAGCCTGCTGGAGCTATCCAGGTGGTGAGACTCAACCTTCAGCCAACACAACATTTTCATTTTACTCCCAATTACAGAGGCTAGAAGTCTGAATTAGAAAAGCACAGAGACATGGTTCCACATAGCCCATAAAAACCCTCTCAGCTTTGGTTATCATCAGATTTTAATTCCCTTTGGGCTGTGCAGACCAGCTGCGCGTGTTCTGTTTTCCTCTTGCATGATGTTTGAACTGTCCCCCCCTTTTGCAGCCAGCTGAAGTCTTCCATGGACTTTGTCTTACCACAATAGGTTTTGGCTCGCATTCTCCATCATGTGCCTTCTCCACGTTGGCTCTGTGTTTCCTAGGAGAAAGCAGACCTGTGTCAGGGATCGCAGAGAGCAGCATCGCCTTGAGGCTGGTGGTGTCGGCACCCAGCTGCTAACTCACATGCTCCTCTGCCCAGTTCACCTTTGGGGGATGAAGCTGCCACCCTTACCTTGAGCCCCTTGCCCTGCCGCTTCTGCTAGGTTTCCAGCAATACTCACGTGTTGTAAAAGCAGATCCCACACTCGTTGCTGTACGTGACGCCGTCGGTGCCGCAGACTGGCTTCAAGTTCCTCGGGCAAGCTACCCAGGCCGTCCCATCCTTGCCGATACCGCTGGAATACTGGCTGCAATCAATCTGCAAAAGCAGCACAGAATCAGCCCTGGCGCTGGCTACCTCATGGAAAGAAACCCCCATGCAGCCTCCCACCAGCAGCCACAGTGCCTGCAGCTCCTGCCGGTAGGTAAAGTAGATGTATTAAATTGAATCTGCTCAGACAGTCAGAAAGAGTGAATTTCATCTACAGAAGTTTCTGATTATGCTTTCCTGCCGTGGTCCGGGGGAGGCCCAGCATGGAGGAAGGATTGCTGTGGGTGAGAGGGTGCCTAATGAAGGCAGCCGGTAATTGGGAGCCTGGCTGCACACCAGAGCCCCTCAGCTCAAAATCTGATCGTTTCAAATCGTGCTGTAGTCTCTGGTGAGTTACAGGAGTCTCCTAACTGCGTGGGAAGAACCTGCAGACAAATCCGTTGCACAGCCCCTGCTGTTTTCCTATGATATAGGTGTAGAAAACCTATGCAAGGAAGACAGTTCTGCGGGTCTTACTGCATAGAAAAAAAAAAATTATCAGAATCACAGTCTTTGATGCTTTCAAGCACATCATCTTAAGACAGTGTTCCTCATGAAGAGGTAACCTACTGCCTTTGGCTTGGAGTAACTAAATTATGTCTAAGGGTTAATACAATAGGATTGTATAATTACTTCTTGCTTTCTTCATTTTATTTAGTGAACTGAAAATATTGTAAAAAATGGAGGATCTTATACTTTCTCGTGAAATTGGCAATATCATTCAAACATGCACTGGCAAATATTATTTAGGCAGCCAAGCTTTCATTAGATTTAATCCACTTGCTCTTCAGATAATTACGTACTCTTTCTACTTTACCAGAAACATGGAATAGAAGAGAATAAATAGATCTGTAGCTCACCTCAACTCCAAAGGCAATACCTGAAAGAAAAAAAGGGAGACAGAAAAGAAAAAAAATAAATCGAATTATTGATATGCAGAGAAGATATATGTAAATCTTTTCATGAAACTGTTAAATTCAGTGACTGTTGTTGACTAGGTTATTAGGTTTAGGAAAATATGGAGTTTTACATTATGCTGGTAAATGGTCATAGGATGTATTAAAATAAATAAATAAAGTTTCATTGCACTTTTGGGGGAGATAAAACAGGGGAGAGCACATACATTAATCCATCCCTAAGATGTTACAGGGAAGCAACAGAGGTACTTTCAATGCAGTACTCTTGGGTTTTAACGTCTTCTAGGAGACTTTATATTCGACTTTCAAAAGTTCGGACACGTGTGTTTAAGATGGCTGTCGACCACCGCCACTGTCCACCTCCAAACGCATCCTTCTCAGTTACCAGGAACAGCACAGTAAGCTTACAGAGTAATCCTAGAGGTTAGAGTTTGCATTTATATTGCTCACATAGCTAACGATGCCATTTCTAACAGTTTTACTTTGCCGTCATACACAGTACTCCCATGTGTAAGCTCCTGCTCTGTACTAGGACTGCTCCTTCAGCAATTTGTTCCTACAAACTAAGAAGATCAAAACAGTCACCTGTATGAGGTTTGCTGAAACCTTCGTCTTGAAGTCTAATTTTTCCTACACTCCTCTCAGGAAGAATATTTCTTCATGGAATAAGGCTCTCCTCCATGTTACAAGACCCGAATATTTTTACTGAAATGAAAGTTCAGCTCTGATTCAGCTAGATCGAGGTCTGCAATATGCCAGGAAATACTCACCCAAGCAGCAGCAAAGGGCTAGAGCCACCTTTACGAAAACCCCCGTTATCTTCATGGCAGACAGAGGTACCTCTCCAGTGCAGCCTGATAGCTCTGTGCGGGAGAGGAAGACTGCAGGTAGGAGCGGGAATATATAGCACACCACGATATCAAGTGGTCCCACCTTGTTAGGTAATGCACCAAGCCTATCATCAACATCCAAAGCCAAAAATATATTTACTTAGTTCTAGATTTCTAGCTAATAATTGACACAGGCATGTATGCCAGGAAGGGGCCTTTTGCGTGGCTCGAGGGGAGTGTGGAACGTGCCAGGACCTCTCTCCTCCCGGATGGATCTGCCCCCGCCCCGGGCTGCCCCTCGCACGGCAGCGGCACGTTGCAGGCTCACATCTACCCTGCGACTGGCTAAATGCAATTAGATCCTTCTCCTCCTCTATAGTTTTCAACTGAGCTGCCAGCTGATAGCCAAAGTCCTCGTTATTTAACCTCAGAGCATGATTTCATACTCTTCACTGCTGTATTTCATGCCAGTTTGAGCCCAGGCAATTTCAGCCCAGAAGGTCACCCTGTGCTCTGCGGGAGGAATCCTGCTCTTCTCCTGTTTTAAAAAAACTCAGCAGTGCTCTGCTCCACGTGCCAACTTTTTCTGTACTACAGCAAGGAGCAAAAATATTAAGTTTGGTCCTAAAAATTGATCTTTTTGGCTGTTCACTGTTAACTCCCATGGTACCCTCTGCTCATCTGCTACCACCTCCCCCGTGGCCCGTTCCTGACCTCACCAAGCCTAAGTGACACCATCCCACAGGGCAGCAGGCCAAACGCTTTTGATGTCTACGTAGACTAGGTGTACTGTATTTCCTTTATCTAGGAAGTCAGCCAACTTTGCAAAGATTGATATTAGCCCATGCGTAGTTTCCTTCCTGAAAATTCACTGTGTACATTATCCCTTTACACTTTATATCTTTAGTTTTCTTCAAATTTCTCCTGAAGGTTTGCCCACTATTAAGGTAACAGTACTTGGATTGGTCCTAAATGCTTTTTTTGTCCTTTACTTAAGGAGATTTTTGGCAATTCCTTGGATTGGTCTCAATCCTAGTCTTCTCAATTGGGATCCTAAATTCTCCAAGTTTCTCACTAACTTTTAATCATTCAAGTTCTGTATTTGGTAATCAAAATCCTTACTTGCAGATCTATTTTTGACATAATTTAAACAGAGTGAGCTCGTGTTGAATCATCCCAGTTTTATTTTCTAAGAGGAGGACATCTCCAACATCTTTCTCACTTGAAAAGCAAATCCACAATAACACAATTTTGGGGATTACCTAATGAAAAATTCTATTTGCTTTCATATCCAGGAGCTCTGCTAATATTACTGGCTTGCAGTGTGCATCTGCAAAGCTAAAGTCTCCCCAAATGCCAGCATTTCCAGCTACGTTAATCTCTAGTGACATTAGAGAGATCTCTATTTATATATCTTGTTCTCCTTTCTCTCCCTGAGATTCAGCCCCAATGTCTCCTGCCCTGTCTCTTATCTCAGTTCCACCAAGTGTCAAGGACTCCAGACCTTTGGACCAACACAGACCTCACCTATAAGGACCTCTGTGCATCCTGATTACAATATCCATCTCTCAGGGCGTATTCCAGCCAAGACTATCATCAATTAATGTTTCCTGGCAGAGGAAAATGTATCTTGACAACTTAATTGCCAGACTCTGTAAAAGCTGTCATGGTCAAGCAAATTCCTGCCAATGTCCACAGAGATGACACCTGAACCTTATGAGAAAGGAGATATTATTTGCAAACCAAATCTGCAGTTAAAATAGATTGACTCAGCATGTTCTGTCAAGATCAAAGCAATTCTCTTCCACCTAAGTTATTAAATTCGAGGAATAGTTTGCAATAGGAGACAGATTAAAGGGACAGAACAGCAAACACCTGTCAAGGATCTAGAGAAGGAATGGGGTTCTAGAAAACATCACCACAGCAATAGCAGGTGCCTGCTGTCCCCTGCCTTGGCCGAGGCACATAGTGCTCAGCTTCAGGCTCCTGCCTTGTGCACAAGGAAGATCTGTGCTGCGACCCTACAAGCGAGCTGCCCGCTTCACAGGGAGCGATTCGGCAGGGCTTTTGGCACCAGCCGTTTGTCTGGCAGGACAGAGCCTTTCAGGACCTGCTGCACCTTCTGGTGCAGCATGTCGCACCCAGGCTGGACAGGGAGCTGTAGGAGATGGAAACCTTTGGTTGTCCCCATATGTTTACATCCTTGTGTTTGTGCAGCTCCCACTCATAGTCAAACAGGTAGACGTCAACTGAGCATATTTGCCCTTCGCTGGGCATGTCAGGAGAGGGTGGCTCTGCAAAGCCTGCCTGGCCGAGCAGCCCTGGACATGGGCACTCTGCTCCTTTCTTCTGCTGCCTCTCCAAGTTACCTCTAGTCACAGCTGTGAATCATCTGTCACCGTTTCTGCAGAATTTCACTGACACTGGCCGAGAAAGGAAGCGACCCCTTTGAGGCCAGAATGAAGCCAACTCACCTGTTTTTCAGAAATACAAGTAGAAATTGTCTATGCTTCCCACCTGCAAACCAAGTGTGCGGTGGTTATTACACCTAACACTAAACTGTTTCTTTTGGGACCTTCGATGTCAAAGCAAATTGTGAATTCTCATCTGGATTTGTAATTTGCAAACAGTTGCATTTACATCTTACTATTTTCAGTGAACAACTTGAGTGGAGTTGCTCCTACCTTTATGCAGGGGAAAGCCTTGAAAGTTCTTGTGTTGTAGTCCCGGTGGGAGGGCTGGGTAGCAGGAGGGCTCCTGCAGCAGACTGGATCAGGGAGATCCCAAGGAAATGGCCAAGACAAGAGCTCCCTGTAGTAGGGAGGCCCTTGCAGGAAAGAACACATGTGCTAACAGACGCCAAACAGAAGTCCTAAAGAGAGGAAAGAGAAAAGCCCATTCACCAGTCCCCAGGATAAAAGCAGTTGGGCCATGAAGCAGAAGTTGCGATAATCAAGGCAAATCATAGAACCATTTAGGCTGGAAAAGACCTTTAAGATCATCAAGTCCAACTGTTAACCCAGCACTGCCAAGCCCACCACTAAACCATGTCCCTAAGCACCACATCTCCCCGGCTTTTCAATACCCCCAGGGATGGAGACTCAGCCCCTGCCCTGGGCAGCCTGGGCCAGGGCCTGACAGCCCTTTCAGGGAAGAATTTTTTCCTAATATCCAACCCAAACCTGCCCTGGCGCAGCTTGAGGCCGTTCCCTCTCGTCCCATCGCTTGTTCCTGGGGAGAAGAGA